TAGGGGGCTTTGGTGTGGATCAGTCGGGCCACCTGTGTTATTCGGTTTGGTTTAGGGTTTGGCTTGAGCTTAAAGGGCTTCAAGGCCTTTAGGGCGGGTTTTCTATGTACCCTTCCTTTCAGGGTAGCCGGTTGTGGTGGGGAGGTTGGGTGTGGTAGAACTTAGAACTTTGGACTCTGAAGTTCAGGGCTTATGGTTGGTTGTTGGGATGCTCCCCCTTATACTAACAGTTAACAGTCCTTCATAGGGATTATAGTACCCCCTATTATCATCCCTAATCAGGACCAGGATTGTTAGCAAAAGGGGGAACATCCCACGTTGGTTGCTTGGTTCGAAGTCCCGGTAGCACAAGCTTGCAGGAGCCTATAGGGGCTTAGGGTTTAGGGTTTAGGTTTTAAGGTTAAGCCACAGGAACTTTTGTGGTCTCAACACAGTCTACCTTTGCTCCCCACTGGTCAGCTAAGCTTCGAAAGCACGATGCCCTGGCTCCAGGTGCATGTTGGCCTTCAGTGGGTTTAGGGTTTAGGGTTTTGGGACAACAGCGCACTCCACTACATAAAGGACCCCAAGCTAGGCAATGCTCACCTTGGAACCAAACACCTCCTTTCCGGTGGAGATTTCTGGTTTCGGGTTGCCTTAAGAAACCCAAAGCAAGCACGTTTTTGCTTGGTGTAGGTTGGCTCGACTAACCTCCTTGTAGACTTCTAAGTCGATTCTCATCTTCTGAAGTGAAGCTAATGCTCTCCTCTAAACTCTACCCGGACCTGATTCCTGAGAACAAGTTGCAACAAACTCTTCAAACCCAACTGTAGAGAGCTGTGTCGAAGTTTTGGTGGTCTTGGGTCGAATCGCGACATCCCCCTCCCACTTCTGAGGGTTTACAGGGTTTTAACATGAAAATTTAGGGCTTGGCAACCCTGATACATCGGGAAGAGATAATTTCGAGCTGGTTTCTATGTGACAGGATATGGCGGTTTACGAGATTAGATTAGGGGGGGGGTCCTTATTATAAGGAATCGTACTATTTGGGGGTCTTGTGTAGGGCCCCTTATTGTGGTAAACCCGCTCTGTCATGGGGGAGCGGAACGGTATGCCACGACATGCAGACAGAGGCGACAGCCGGCAGCTTAAAAAACAGTTGGGTTTCTGTCCAGACCATCCCTGCATCTCCTTTAAACCGGTAGGTTTAGGGTTTAGGGTTTAGGGTTTAGGGTTTAGGGTTTAGGGTTTAGGGTTTAGGGTTTAGGGTTTAGGGTTCAGGGTTTAGGGTTTAGGGTTTAGGGTTTAGGGTTTAGGGATTAGGGTTTAGGGTTTAGGGTTTAGGCTTAGGGTTTAGGGTTTAGGGTTCAGGGTTCAGGGTTTAGGGTTTAGGGTTTAGGGTTTAGGGTTTAGGGTTTAGGGTTGAGGGTTTAGGGATCCCCAAACCCCCTACACCCGCTGAAGCGCAAGAACTTCTAAACCCCCTACACCCCCTCAACCCTGGGGTCTAAGGCTTAGGGCTTTGGCTAGGTTCCCCAGGAACTCCCTTATAATAAAGGGTGCCCTTTTCCCCAAAAAAAACAACAACAAGGGAATAAGGGTACTTCTGGGTGGGGGCCCAGTTGGGACTAAGCTAAGCCCGCGAATGAATGCTTGCGGTGCGGCTGAGTCGATGCTTGTACCGCCTGTCCTTGCACTTTTGGCACGGTATCATCCCATGCCCTAAACCCTAAACCCTAAACCCTAAACCCTAAACCCTAAACCCTAAACCCTGAACTCTTACAACCCACGTAGCTCATAACCCCAACCGTAAGCACTACAAATCTTGACCCTAAGACCCAAACCCATACATCTGAAGCCTTGCAAGCCCTATAAGCATCGAGAGCTGCGCCACCATAAGCCCGAGCAACGGTTTAGGGTTTAGGGTTACTCATTCCCATGGGTAACTTACCCAAGACCATGTCTAGAGTCTAGGCTTTCGAGGGTTTAGGGTATTTTGTGGAAGCAACGTGCAGACCCTGCGCCCGAAACCCACAACTCCGCGGGGCTTCTCGAAGTACAGCTATACATATGGCCGAACTCCCCCCAGCGACGAATCAGCAGGTGTGCTTCTTGGTTTGTTCAATGAGGGTGTAGGGATTTGGGGTTGTAGGGCTTTGGGGGTTTACGGGTTGGTTTCGGGTTAGAGCTTTAGGATCCCAAACCCTACCCAAGAGACTTTAAACGGGGCTTATCAGGGATGCCGACCCTAAAAGGAGGGAATGCGATAGTGGGCTCAAAGCACCCCGCTCCCCGGCGACCCCAATACCGAAGCAGGACTTTCTTCACAAAAAATCGGGGTATCTCCGTAAGGGTTCAGGTTTAAGGGTATAGGGTTGCGGGTGTATGGGGTATAAGGCCCAAGGATTGGACTCTGAAGCCCGCAGGGGTTCGAAGTACCATAGCAGTCCGTCCGGGCTGCAGCAGTGAGGGTTTAGGGTTTAGGGTTTAGGGTTTAGGGTTTAGGGTTTAGGGTTTAGGGTTTAGGGCTTTAGGGCTTTAGGGCATCTCTGCGTCGAGCAGCTTGGGTATGTGCATGAAGCGGAGGCACTGGTTTGCCTTTGAGGACCTGCAAGCTTCGATGGATACCGTGCTGGATAGCTTGGCAAGGTGTCTGAGATACTACAGTGATAGCCCTCAAACCTAAACCCGGAACCCTAAGCTCTAAAGTCTTAAACCCTACACCCTGATTTCCAAGAAGGCAAAACCTTCTCTTTTTTGCGGTTGTCCACGAGTCCTGGCTACTTTTGGATGTAACTATTGTCAAACCGACACTGATAGAAAGGACCGAGCTTCTCTGGCTGATCCCTGTTTTCTCAAACTCCCTAATCGTGCTAGCAGCGTTTTCCCGCATTTGGATGTCGAGATGGAGAGCTGTAGCACTGTCGCTATTGATGGTTTGGAATTGGGGTCCTGAACAAGACTGCTTCGGCTGCTCGTGCTGAGAAAAGTGACCCTCCCTCCCTCCCTCCCTCCCTCCCTCCCTCCCTCCCTCCCTCCCCCTCTCCCTCCCCCTCTGCCTCCTGCTCTCGCTCTCCCTCCCGCTCTCGCTCTCGTTCCCACTCCCGTCTCTCGCAGCACTCTCTTTGCCCGACTCGCTGATTATCAAGCTTCCTGAACATTACCCCCCCCCCCCCACCCCCCCCCACCCCCCCCCATAAACTTTCATAGGGTTCAGGGTAGTACAAGTACCAACTGCCACGCCAAGCTGCGCAAGGGCTGCCACGCCCATCTGCAAGAAGTTCACGGAATTCAGTTCCACATCACCTGGGCTCAAAGCCTAGGGCTTCGGGTTTAGGGTTTGGGGCTTGGGGCTTAGGGCTTAGGGGTTTGGGTTTGTAGGTGTACAGATGGTTAAGGGTAATTACTTGTAATCTCGCGCCGCATGGACTGGCTAGGGATTAGGGTTTAAGGCTTGGGGCTGAGGGAGCTCGAAGAGTTTGTGTTGTAAGGCTCCGGAATCCAAAGAGGAGTCCTGAATTCTGAAGCACCAGTCTGCAGTGAACCATCAACGTCTAGAGTGCTTGCGTACCCACCACCAAAATCTTCAACCCTAAACAATGAACCAGTAACCACGTCATAACAAGGGTACCCTTTTGGGGTCGCTTCCGATCCGGAAGAGGTCGGGCCTGTAGGGGTTTGCCCGCGCCCCCTGGGTTGCAGAGGTCCGGATCCTCGTTTTGACTGCGAAAGCACCACTGTTTGCTTAAGAACCCCCAAAAATATGAAAAAAACAATGATTCCTATATTACCCTTCTCAGGAAGAACACTTGTGGTTTTTGGCGGGTTCTTCAGCAATTCGTAGAGCACGGTGTTCCGGAAAGTTGGAGGCTAACAGACGGGCTAACACACGAGAGGCCTTGTTCACCTGTGTCTAGGCAAGGTCAAGCTTGGGTTCTTGTTCTGGCTCTCATTCATGTGGTGTGCCTATGTGGGAGGCGCAGCCCCCCCCACCTCCCCCGACTCCAACCTCCCTACTTTTGATATTTCTGGAACGAAAGTCTGCGAGGATGATGGAGCCTGTCTCCGGCACATGCACTTGGACTTTGTCGGTACCGAGCAGAACTGATAAACCCGTTCAACCCTGCACCCTGAAGCGTAAAATTTCTCGAAAGTTTTCAGACCCCCCTAAACCCGAAACCCTAAACCCTAAACCCCAAACCCTAAACCCTAAACCCTAAACCCTGCACACCGGAGCTTGAAGATGCTCGAAATGCAGCCCGACCGAAAGACAAGAGCACCCAGCACCCAGCACCCTAAACCCAACATCGTCGCAAAGTGTGTGGGCAAACCAGTACTTCTCCGCCTTACTTTACAAGGGGAGCTTGAACCAAAAAAAGGGGCAAAGGGCCAAATCTTGGAGAGCCGACAAGATACTTTCGCTGCATCGCTGGGCCAATGCCGTCTGCAAGGCCAGCAAGGACCAGGCCAGCAGAAGCGAACTCGACATGGCGCTCTTCTCAGTTGGGGTCCCTTGGGGTTCAGGGATTTCGATGCCAAAATCCTGGGCCTCTGTTCTATCACCCGGGACTGTCGTGTATTACTGCTTGGACAATTTGGCGGGTCGAGGGCCCTAAACCCTAAAGCCCCCAATGCCTCATACCCCTGTGGAAACGGTTTGGTGCAGCCCCGGACGGGCTTGAGCCGAAATGAAGACATCCAGGGTTTAGGGTTTAGGGTTAGGGTATAGGGTTTATAGGGTTTAGGGTTAGGGTCTTTCCTTACCCCCTCAGTTTGGGAAAGGAGGGTGTAGAGTTGAGGGGGTCCGGCGCTTGGGGGCTCAAATCCCAAACCACATCTAGTTTGGCCCTTACCCTTTGACAAAAGACACATCAGTATTCCCTAAACCCTAGACCCCTAAACCGTAGATCCCTACATGTTTAACCCTGAACTTTAAACCCGAAGTTTTAAGCCCTAAATAAATCCCTAAACCTCAAACCCCTAAACCCTGTTTCCCTAAGGCTCTGAAAACCTTGCCAGGCCTGGACAGCGGAATGAGCCGGAGGATCTGGCGCTGCCTTCGAACACGCACGGGTGGGCCCATGGGAGGTTTAGGGTTCAGGGTTCAGGGTTCAGGGTTTAGGGTGAAGGAAAAGGGCAGTTGGGGTTTAGTAATTCAGGGTTTGAGGGAAAAGGGGGGGGTGGGGGGTGGGGGCAGGGGGAAGGGGAGGGGCCATTGTCTTAGAGTTTTGGATGTGGTCTTGGGGCTTCATGCGATGCCCGGCAGAGGGTCCTGAGCAGTGGGGTGACCCACCCCCATAGTTGTGTAGTTCAAACGGGTATCGGGGTGCTTCGGAACAAAAATTTTTGGCACCTGCTGCAAACAGCTTAGGGGGCAGGTTTGATGGGTTTAGGGTTTAGGGGTAGATGGGCTTAGTTTACGGTTTAGGGCCTCGCGCTTATGGGCTTTGGCTGGAGGTTTTTGGCTAACCTACATGTGATGACTTCGCGTTATGAATAGAAACCGAAAAGGAACCAACAGCTTTTCACAACAGCCCGTAGTATGTAGCGTGCCCGAAGCGGGACGACAATGTCCATGTCGAGAATCGACCATGCGCGCCTGGTGTCGAGAGCGGCCTCATCCTCTTTCAGCATGGAGATGCCTAGATGGGTTTGGGATTTAAGGTTTAACGGGTTAAGGGTTTCGGGTTTAGGCAACCCTAAACCCCGAATTAACCCTAAACCATAAACCCTGTGAACCATATAAACAAACCCTAAACCATAAACCTTCAAACCCTAAACCCTAAAACGCCAAACTCTTCCTGGGGCTCCCTGAAGAGCGGTAAAACCTAGTTTATAGGGGGGCATCAGGGTGCCCACGAAGATTTTAAGATTTAGGGTTTTCGGGTTTTTGGGTTTTAGGGTAACAACCTCCAAAACAGAGTAGTTCCCGCATAACCTGCAGGTCGAACCCTAAAACTAAACCCTACACCCTACAGGCTAAACCCTAAACCCTAACCCCCCCCCTCCCGCCCCAAATTGCGCCGAGCATCGGCTCGCAAAGGCACCGCTGCTGCCGAGGCGGCGGCCACCCCGGAGGTTTCCCGAGATGGCGCAGGCCTTGGCAAAGCCTGGAGACAAAGCTTCGGGTGTAGGGTTTAGGGTTCAGGGTTTGGGGTTCAGGGTTTAGGGTTTAGGGCTAAGGGTTTAGGGCTGAGGGTGACTTGCTGCTGAGCATTTAGGGTATAGGGCAATAGGGTTATAGGGTGGGAGGGTCAAGGGTTATGGAGGGTTGTAGAGTTGTAGGGCTCCGTTCGGGTTCTGATGGCTAGCAGATCGAGCCAACAATGCTTGGGCGATGGCTGTGCGCGCAAAGTGTCCATGCTTCAAATTCCGCATGGCACAAGTTTACAACCGATTCTGAAACCTGAACCTTGAATCACATCCTTAGGTCTAGGATGGATTTACTTGGGGTTCAGGGTTTGGGTGTTAAGGTTTCGGGTTTGGGGATTTAGACCCTTACGGGTTTGAGGGCTTTGTATTCAGGAAGCCTACATATTTGGTCAGGCTACCAAATCGTATACCCCAAATTAAAGCCAAACCCTAGACCGTGTCCACGTTTGCTTTCAAGAAGGGTTTGCACGGTTTTTAGTTTATTTCTTCGTCAGGTTTTCTTGGCGGACTTGTCGCTGATCCGTGAGCCGAACCCCTGAACCGAAACCCTAAACCCTAAACCCTAAACCCTAAACCCTAAACCCTAGACCCTAGAACCTAGACCCCAGACCCTGAATCCTAAACCCTAAACCCTAAACCCTAAACCCTGAACTGAACCCCTCAACTGTGACCAGGTGCCCCAGACGGCCATGGTCCGTGGCTGGGGGCAGCGATTGGGGCTGCCCCTGTGCAAAGCGCGGAGGTCCCGCCTTGGATACATTCGGGGATTTCGGGTTTAGGGTTTAGGGTTACTAAACCCTAAACCCTAAACCCTAAACCCCAAACCCTAAACCCCAAACCCTAAACCCTAAACCCAAAACGCACAGACTCTGCGCCCCTCCGAGGAACAACGCCACGTCACCGCGGGAAAGAAGCAGTCGCCGCAGGCGCCGCTTTGCCAGCAACGCTGGCGCTGCTGCCAGGGAGACCTCTTCAGACTGCGGACACCCACTCTGAGACCCCAAGCCTTCGGGCTTAGGGTTTAGGGTTTAGGGTTTGGGGTTTGGGGTTTAGGGTTGAGAAGGTAAAAAAGACGGTTGAGAAGGTCTAGGGTTATAGGGTGTCTAGGGTATAGGGGTGTTGTGCTTGAGGTTGAGAAAGCTGAGGTGAGGTTTAGGGTTTAGGGTTTAGGGTTTAGGGTTTAGGGCGTTTAGGGCGTTTAGGGCGTTTAGGGCGTTTAGGGTTTAGGGTTTAGGGTTTAGGATTTAGGGCTTCTAGGGTCTAGGGTCTAGGGTCGGCCTAAGGTCTCGGGTTTAGGGTTCAGGGTTCAGGGTTTAGGGTGTGGGGTTTAACTTCAACTTGCAGCCTCCTGACTGCCAGGGAGGACCTCCAGCGGTCCATTCTCCTCGTGCACGTCCACCTGGGACGTGAAGCCCAAACAGGGTATAGGCATAGGGTTTAGGGTTTAGGGCGGTTTAGGGTTTAGGGTTTAGGGTTTAGGGTTTAGGGTTTAGGGTGTAGGGTGTAGGGTTTAGGGTTTAGGGTTTAGGGTTTAGAACCCTAAACCCTAAACCCTGAACACCAAAAACTTTAAAGCCTAAACCCAACCCTCTTCCCCAAACCCTGAACCTTTTCAAATCCATGGCCCCATCCCGAGCCGTGGAGCTCGGACCCAGGACGCAATCCCTAAGAGTCTAAGGGTTGCAGGGTTGTAGGGTTTAGGGTTCCTTCCCCCCCCCCCCCACAAAAAAAAAAAGCTAAAAAAGGTAAACCCCATGTCATGCCCAGCGGCGAGGGCAAAGTTCACTGATACCATCGCCAGGGGTTCAGGTGGAAATCCTGAGGCTGGTCTGGTTCTGGATACCTATGTGCCCGTGTAGCTCACTTTAGGTGGCCAGGGTGTGCTACACTAAACCCTAAACCCTAATCCCTAATCCCTAAACCCTAAACCCTAAACCCTTCATGTCTGGCATCCCAGGCTCTTGTCCGGGAAGGCGGGGGGGGGGAGGGGTCAGATGGCAAGGTCGGCGCTGCGCGTACTTTCAGAAGACCCCAAACCCGCCACCCCAAACCCCAAACCCTAAACCCTAAACCCCAAGCCCTAAACCCTAAACCCCGAACCCCAAACCCTAAACCCTAAACCCCAAACCCTAAACCCTAAACCCCAAACCCTCGACCCTAAATTCCAAAGCATCTGTCCGGCGCCTTCGTCCACGGCCCTGACGACGTCCGAATGCAGCGGTTGGTGCTCCGAGCCCTGAAGGGAACACAGCGGGTTTAGGGTTTAGGGTTTAGGGTTTAGGGTTTAGGGTTTAGGGTTTAGGGCGTAGGGTTTCGAGTTAGGGTTTGAGGGTTGGGATTTGGGGTTTGGGGATTGGGGTCCTTTTTGTGCACCCTAACTGTAAGACTCCGTCTTCCCTAAATGGGATGATATCCTGGAGACGCCCACGGCCCTGTAGCCCTTCTTCTTCAGAGGCATGGCGCTTTGGGGCTTCCGGGTTTAGGGTTTAGGGCTCGAGTTCCAGCATTCCTCCCCCGTGTGCTTGAATCATAGTAAATATCCTTATCCCAAGCTGCTGGATTCCTCTCATAAAACTAAGGGGTATGGTGCTCCCTGGGCAATCTCGGCCCCGCAAATGATGGACCAATCCCGCTGCCCTGTCTACACTTCGCTGCCCTACGGAGGATGCTGACATTTAGAAGGCTCGTGTCGGCTGAGCAAACAAGTGCGCAGCTAGATTAGACTTGGGGCTGAGGCCCTAAACCCTAAACCCTAAACCCTAAACCCTAAACCCTAAACCCTAAACCCTAAACCCTAAACCCTAAACCCTAAACCCTAAACCGGCTCAGGGTTCAGGTTTTCGGGCTCAGGGCTTAAAGCGCGTGGTGGTGATCTCACTGGGCTCCCGAGATTTCTCGGGGAAAAAGAGCCTTCGCCGAAATTTGGCCAGGAGGCGAGGTCGAAAGCTCGACGGGCTTGAACAAACATGAGGGAATGAGGTATAAAAAATGAATGCATACATAAATATAAATAAATAAATATATATATATAGGGTCTTCTTTCCCTCACTCCCTACTAAGAACCCAGGGGGAGACCCCAAGCTGTGCAACCCTGCTAAGTATACGTTTCAACCTTCTCTACACATCATTCCTTCAGCCCTGAACCCTAAACCCTAAGCCCCAGAAGCCCTAAACCCTAGCCTGGTATGGAACATCCATTGCCAGCTGATAGGCTGCATAGTCCGCACCTCGGGGCGTGTAGCCGCATGCTTGGGGTTCATAGGAGGTTAAGGTCTAGCATTTCGGGTGTCGGGTTTCAGGGTTTAGGGGGTTCTTCGGGCCTTGTTGTAGACTCCCCCCTAGAAACAAAACAAAAAGAACGTGTTCAAGAGCCCTTGGTTTTGGTTTTAAGAGTCTAGGGTTTCAAAGACGAAAAATACCAATGTCCCGTTTATGGCAGCTATTCCGACATCAACACCTACATATTCCATCCGAACATCCACTAAACAACCCTAAGGCCGAAACTCTGAACTTGAACCCAACATCCCTTCTTCTGCGTGCCCAGAGCGCCAAGTAGCTCAGCTAATGCCGCGTCCAGGATTGGGTGCCCGATAACTCCCTAGACGTGTTTTGAGCAGGTAGAGGGCCGTGTGTTGGGGGTTTGCCTTAAGAAGCCAAAGCCTTGCTCTTTGTAGCCCTTTTTGCAAAACCCCTGATAGTAGGTTTTGAGGCAGATGTTTCGTGAACATAGGGCCTTCAGGGTTTGGAGTACAGTGTTTAGGGTTTAGGGTTTTAGGCTAAAAGGCTTGACTTGGAACTAAAAGCCTTTCTGGGGTCAGTTTCATCTGCTCAGGGCACGTGCACCGTGCAAACCCTATGTCCTATACCCTCAACTCCAAAACCGAAACCCCTAAACCTAAACCATAAACCCTATACCCTAAACCCGAATCTCCTTTGAGATGGCGCATGATCTTTGTGTGGCAGCTCAGGAGATACTTAACCTTGGGGTTTAGGGTTTAGGGTTTAGGGCTTCTCCCCCTTATACTAACAGTCCTTAGGGGGAACATCCCAAGTCACTTCTCTACATTCTGGTCTGTTTTGGGGTCACATTAGAAGGCAACCCCTAGAATTTTTGGGTGCCCACAAAGGGACCATCATTTTGAGAACTGACCATATGAATATACAAGCAAGACATAATTCCAAAGGTGACTGCACTACTCTGTTACCTAGCTCTTTTTTTGCGTGAGCCTTCAGGCGGAACCCCTCCTAGAGAATGCAAGAATGGGTCCTACCGGGCATCTGGCATCCTGGTCTCATGCATCAAGGACTTCGCGCCCTAAACCCTCCTCTGGCCCCCTTGGCCTCCTGACCCCCTGCTTTCCTTCTCTCCTGAATGAGTGAGATAAGAAGCTGTTGCCTGAGTTTAGGCCTAAACCCTAAAAGGAATAGGTTTGGGTGGCTTTTGCCGCCTCGGACGGCGTGGGGTGGGAGAAAAGTGAGAGGCCCTCCACCATCGGGCCAAAGCTGCTCTTCGCACCTCACGAAGCAGCTTCGAGTTTGTTCCGAAATCTGACCTCAGCAAACCCTAATCCCCAAACCCTCAACCCCAAACCCTAAACTCGAGACCCGAAACTCTAGGCCTCAACCCGAACCCTACATCCAAAACTCCCCCCCCAAAGAAGGCGTCCCGGCCTCCGGAGACAGAAAAGCCCTGGAGGGCCGCAACCGCGCGTAGCGCCGGGCCTTCCAAAAGTTCCCCATGTTCCCCCTTTAGGATGTTTGTGACATGATGATGTTCCCTAAACCCTAAACCCTAAACCCTAAACCCTAAACCCCAAACCCCAAACCCCAAACCCAAGAAAGGAGCTGCGTCCCATCCCAGCGACTCAAGGTTGATTGGAGCTTTGTAGGGGGTTTCGGGTTTGGCAAGTACGGTGGGTGGCCCCACAGAATCCTCAGCACAAGGGACGAGACCCTTGGTAGCCCAGTAGCTATATTGAAATAAGGGGCACCCTTTTTTGGGTTGGTTACTTTAGAAGCGAACCTTGAAACAGACAAAAAAAGGGAAAAGGGCACCACTGGGCTGCCAAGAACCCTAGACCCAAGCCCTCTATATAAAGCGATACTCAAGCACCCAGTCTGCTCATCCTTCTACGCTCCATATCAGGCCCTAAACCCCTACACTCGGAAGCCCACGAAGTCGAAGTCAACCTTCTGAGCCACCCTATCCCTGATCGAATCCTGAACCCTGAACCAACCCTGCAGCCCTAAACCCTAAACCCCTAAAACCACCAAACCCCTAAACCCTAAACCCGAACCCAAAACCCCAAGACCCTACAACCCGAAACCCCGAAACCCTATAACCCTATAACCCTAAACCCTAAACCCTAACCCTAAACCCTAACCCTATTCGTTTTTGGGTTCAAGGGATCCTTAGCGCGCAAGCCGCAAGCCGCACGCACCTTCCCGCGATTCGGGGGACCACGCAGTCCCTCCAAGACCTCTCAGAGCCGGACTCTACTTGAGGCACCCAAAAGAGGTTAGGGTTTAGGGTTTAGGGTTTAGGGTTTAGGGTTTAGGGTTTAGGGTCTGAAAGGGTTTAGGGTCTCTAGGGTTTAGGGTCTCTAGGGCCTAGGGTTTAGGGTTTAGGGGTTAGGGTTTAGGGTTGCCGGATTTTTGGGCCTGAGGTTTTGGCGCTTCAGGGATTCTGGGTTAAGTTAAGGGTTCAAGGGTTTAGGGCCTAGGTTGGGTTCAAGGGTTTTGGGGTCTTGGGGTTTGGGTTTCGGGTTTAGGGTTTAGGTCAAGGGATGTCCGAGGTTGTCCGCACGAGCCTGTGCTCAACGAAGTCAGAGAGAAGCTGAGGCTCCGCTGGCCCCCGCTCAACCCCCTCCACCACACCTCACAACGTTGTAGACCTCAACTCCTGTGCTTCGTGATGTAGGATCTGGGTTGAGGGTTTAGGGCTTCGGGCCTTGAAACTGCCCCCAAGCCCCGAAAGAAACCTTCTTGGGCTCCCAGCGCGCAGGCATTCGGCCTGATGGCCGGGCACGCTGTGCTTGCAGCTGTTGATATCTGGGATTTGGAGTTTACCCAGTGATCGGACTGTGATTGCGTATGCTCCCCTGTCACCCCAAGAATCCTAAGATCACTAAACACCAAACAAGACATTGGGTCTTCGTATGGACAGAAAGTAAAGCCGCTCCTAAGGGTTACAGCTTGGGGCTTCATAAACCTGAAGCCCTAAACCCCAAACGTGGGTTCAGGGTTTCTCGTGTTTAGGGTTTTAGGGTTTAAGGTGTAGGGTTTCAAGCCTTACACCCCGAAAGAGGTGCCCCTGATCATCTGGCGTGGATGGGCGATAGTTCTTCAACACCGCTAAAAACTCGAATCCTTTAAGTCTAGGTTTCCCTTGAAGCCCTGAACCCTAAACCCTAAACCCTAAACTCTAAACCCTAAACCCTAAACCTCAAACCCTGGACCCTGAACCCACACACTCTTCAGGGTTTAGGAGGTCTAGGCGGTTTAGCAGGTTTCGGAGGTTTAGGGCGGTTTAAGGGCTCATAGTGTTTCAGGTTTACGAAGCCGCACATATTGGGCTGGCGCGCATGCAAAGTCGACACCAGCGGCCGAGGAAGGATGCCTCGGAGAACCTTGGAAGGTTTGGGGTTTAGGGTTTAGGGAAAGTTTAGGGTTTAGGGTTTAGGGTTTAGGGTTTAGGGTTTAGGGTTTAGGGTTTAGGCTTTAAGGTCTTGGGCTTGGAGCTTTAGGGTTTAGGGTTTAGGGTGTTTGGGTTCTTTTTTTAGCCAGTTATACCTGTGCTAGCATTATGGACCTTTCTTCATATGACCAGGGCCGCCTAAGCTCCTAAACCCTTCAAGCCTCTCCGAAAGCCTGCAAAAGTCGGACTCCCACCCCCAACTCTCAATCCTGAAGCCCCAAGGCCCTCAAACCCTACTGCAAGGTTCATGGCACTCATTAACCAATGATAACTGCACTTATCACCCACTTACACGCCCCTTAAGTGCCCTAATATGGGTATAAGTACAGTTACAGGCTGATATCCCGGGCTGCTGGGCCAGCCCCCGCCCGCCCCCCCCCCCCCCCCCCCCCCCCCCCCCCCCCCCCCCTTCGTGGTGTTTCCTCCCTGGATGGCTATCCTTGTAACCTTGTAACACCATCCTGGTGGCTGCCATCACTTTAGGAGTCTCGTATCTCTCGCGGGCCAAAAGCGCCGAGAGCTACGAAGGAACAAATCTCGAGGCCCTCAACCCTGGTGCCGTAAAACCGGATCAAACCCTTAACCCTCATCAAGCCTTAAAACCTAACACCAACGTGAAAAAAAGGGTGGCGGGAGCCTGAAACCCCAAAGCCCACCCCAGCCCTAAGCCCAAAACCCACCACCACAACGCAGAAAGGTGGGGGCAGGTGGGGCTGAAAGGGGAGGGGGATGGGCGGGATGCCATGGGGGGCATGGGGGGGGGGGTGGGAAGCACCACGCCGGAACCATATCTGCACCCACCAGAATTTGCAAGGAACCACCAGTAACAAGAAATAATAGTTCTCCCTGGCCAGGGTTTTAGGGCTTAGGTTGTCTACTATGTGTGTAAGAACCCCCAGAAATAGAACAATAATCCCTATATTGCCCGTACAAGGAATATTTTGCTTTAAACACCCCCCCCCCCCCCCCCCCGAGAAAAAAAAAAAAAACAATAATCCCTATATTGCCCGTATAAGGCATATGTTGTATCTTTTTGGAGGGGGTTCTTATGCAACATAGTAGTTGTTGATCTCGCCTGGGGGTTGAAACACCCGAAGCCAGGTGAGCAAACTATTTTTGGGTTTAGGGTTTACGGTTTAGGGTTAACCGTAATGGGCCCGAAAACCGAAGCCCTGACAAATCTCCCAACGACAGTGGCTCCCTTTTTGGAGGTTGCCCGGACTGGATCTTTGGTGACAAAATAGCGTGGTTCTTTCCGGATGGGGGTTTAGGGGTTTCGGGGTTTGCGGGTTTAGGGGGATTCGCAGTGGTAGCAGAAGTCGTTTGATGACCTTGTACGGCTTTCCCCGCAAATATCTAGTTCGCATGTTTATAACTTGTAATCCTTACCGGCGTCATCCTCTGCAAAAATGGAGTAGTCATTTTGGATTTGGGTGTCATCCCTCCAGTCGGATTGTCCATGAGTTCTGCGACTCGTGTCAGAATGCACGTCCACAGATCTGCACCTTTTTGGGTAGTGTAGTATAGGGGCCTGAATAATTGGAAAAGGAATTTGCAGGGTTCTTATAGTATAACTACAAGGGGACCACAAGGAAAAACGATTAGTAACGATTCCGACCCCTATAGTAGGGGGTTTTGGGTTTCCGGGTTTCGAGGTGTAGGGATCGTATATGCGTTGTGCCCTCCGAGGCGCAGCGATGCCCCAGCGTCGCACGCAGTGCACCGCTTCGTCTGCTGTGCGGGCCTGTGTGTATATTTCAGCGTTTGGGGTTAGGGTATGTTAGGGATTTAGGGTTTCGAGAGAGACCCGAAACATGTAGGCCTCCTTCAGAAGATTAAGAATGATCAAAGGCATTATCCTCCGTGTGTTTCCTTTATGAGAAGTTCGAAGCCCTGCTATATACCACTCAAAACCTTACAAAGCCTAAGCAGAGCTATATACATCTATATATGCATATATATATATGTATATATACACACACCAAGGCCTATATACGCCATATCGCAAGAAAGCCTAAACCCTTGGCACATGCATATGTGTATATGTATACACACTTACATACATGTATGTATGTATGTATGTATGTATGTATGTATGTATGTATGTATGTATGTATGTATGTACATATGTATACCAGCGTGCATGCAACGAGGGGCGAAAACCGATTTACGCCGATACGCCGATACGCCTGAACCCCCCCCCCCCCCCCCTTCACCAAATACGTCGATACGCCATTCATTACGCCGATACGCTACGCCGTTCCTCCCCCCTCCCCACTCAATACGCCGTTACGCCTATAGGTGGATACGCCGGCCCCCCACCCCCCCGCCCCCCCACCCCCTGTGAACCAACCAATACGCCGATACGCCGGTACGCAGGAAACCCCCCCCCCCCCCCCCCCCTCGTCAACAGGAAATACGCCGATACGCCGATACTCCGGGCGTCTCCCCTCCCCCCCCCACCCCAGGAAATACGCCGATACGCCGATACGCCAGAACCCCCCTTAAGAATTCCGCTTTTTGCGGACTGGCCAGGAAATACGCTGATACGCCGGAACGCCCCCGTTCCACAAGGAAATACGCCGATACGCCGATACGCCGACGTCGATACGCCGGAACCCCCCCCCACCCGCCCCAGCAGGAAATACGCCGATACGCCGATACGCCGGAACCACCTACACCGATGCGCCGATACACCAGAACCCGGAACCCCCCCCCCCCCCACAGCCAAATACGCGAACACGACGCCGACCCCCCCCCCCCCCTCCCCCACCCGCCCACACGCCGGTCGCCTTCCCCCCCTCCCACAGGCCCTCGGGATCCCCTACACAAACAATGAAGGCCCAGAATTTCCTGGGCCTTGATAGAATTTATCGCGTCTTGAATGTGGTATATAGTGTTGCTCCAAGAGCTTCCCGGGATGCCCTCGGCATTGATAACGGACGATGAAGGTCTAGAATTTCCTAGGCCCTGATTGAAATTATGATGGCAATCCTGCTCCAACCATCCCCTGGGTTTCCCTCGGTGTATCGGTGTATCGGTGTATTGCCGCAGTTTTATGCCGATCCCCCCCCCCCCCTCCCGGTCGGTGTATCGGTGTATCGGTGTATCGGTGTATCGGTGTATCGGTGTATCGGTGTGCCGCAGTTTTACGCGCCGATCGCCCCCCCCCCCCCCCCCCGCCCGGGTCGGTGTATCGGTGTATCGGCGTATCGGCGTATTGCCGCAGTTTTAAGCCGTATGGGACCCCCCGAATTCGTGTATCTGTATTGCCGCAGTTTTACGCCGATCGGCCCCCCCCCCCCGGGTCGGTGTATCGGTGCATGGGACCCCCCGATCGGTGTATCGGTGTATTGCCGCAGTTTTACACCGATCGCCCCCCCCCCCCCCCGGGTCGGTGTATCGACCCCCCGATCGGTGTATCGGTGTATCGGTGTATTTACGTTTTTCTGCCCTCCTCCGCGGTCGCACTGGTATGTAAGCATGTATGTAAGCATGTATGTATGCATGTATGTATGCATTTTCTTCTTTGTTTTAAAGAAAAGTACATTGTTACCAGAAGGGCCCATACTTCAGAACCCTCTACCAAAGGTACGGGACCATATTGTAAGTGTAGAGGCTCAGGCTCAAGGAGTTTCGGGTTTAGGCTTTCACAAGGGCTTCACAGCCCACAACCTGGGTATAGCCAATTCAGCTGATGGGCCGCAGGACTAATTAAGTACAACTTCGAGTTCGTGGTAGGAAGAAGCCAGGCAAGCGCCTGGAAGCTTCCATAAGATTTTGTAGCACCAGCTCTGGCGATATGCCTTAAACCCTCAACCCCAAACCCTCTTAAGAGGTCCTCAAGCAGGCGCCCCGCCGGCCGGCAGGCTCCCGCCGGCCAGGCCTCAGAGGCCCCCAAATGTGACAACTTTTTGGAGGAGGGGTTTAGGGGTTTAGGGTTTAGGGTTGTTTCGGGGAGGAGGGGGGGAGGGGCTCCCACAGCATCCACCAACATGCATACAGAACGTCAACTGGACAAGTCCAAGACCCCTGAACCTTCTCAGGGGCTTAGGAGAGTCCCTAAACCCTAGGGCTGGACCCCCAAATCTTAAACCGGGTGATACATGCCGAAAGCTCTCCTTGCGACCCAAACCCCATGTCTTCTACTCTGAACTGCAAGGTTTAGGGCTTCATAGGGCTTAGACTTTAGAGCTTTCAAGCCCTGCTCCGTTGTGTCCTGAACCCGATTCCCCTGAGCTCTACCCTCTTAACCCCTGGTTTCATCCTAAGACCAGTGGCCAGAACACTAAACTCAGGCTGGAAACACGCATGCTGCTGAACACTAGAAACTTTAAACCCGAAACCCTGAACTTCTGAACCTTATAAACTCACGACCTAAACCCTAACCCCTAAACCCTAAACCCTAAACCCTAAACCCTAAACCCTAAACCAAAACGTCCCAAGTTTAACCCTCGCAGCCAGTCCCGGCGGAGGCCGTGGGGCTGGGGAAGCCATGTCATGGCACAGGAAGAGCTCTTAGGGCGTGCCTGAGGTTTAGGGTTTAGGGTTTAGGGTTTAGGGTTTAGGGTTTAGGGTTTGGGGTTTGGGGTTTGGGGTTTGGGGTTTGGGGTTTGGGGTTTGGGGTTTGGGGTTTGGGGTTTGGGGTTTGGGGTTTGGGGTTTGGGGTTTAGGGTTTTGGGTACATGTAAATGCTACTAGGTTGGTCGGTAAACCCTTTTGAAACATTTTAGTATATAGGACTCCTTGTATAAACCTAAATAAAGAAACATGTACATAGCCCAAAGGCCAACCTAGTATCATCCCCGTGTGGAGAGGGTTCGGCTGGGCCTCTTGCAGTTCACCCGAAACACATCGATGAGCTTCCATACTGCATACAAAGCCCGGTAACCAAATTCTCAGAAGGGCACCCGTGTTTTTGAGTCGGTTACTTTATGAGGGAACCTGGAGCCCTAAACCCTAAACCCTAAACCCTAAACCCTAAACCCTAAACCCTAAACCCTAAACCCTAAACCCTAAACCCTAAACCCTAAACCCGTGCCACTGGGCTAGCAAGCCTGTCGAGCCCTGGGCTGACTTAAGTTCCAAAAATGCAGAATCCCCAGGTCAATGATGGTAAGGTTTTCCAGATTGTAGGCTTTTTGGGCTTATTGGCTTAGGCCTTTTGGGGTTCAACTGTACGATCGGTTGAGGCTCCAGCAGGGGTCTAGGGTTGAGGGCTTGAGCAACCCTAAACCCCAAACCCTAAACCCTAAACCCTGAACCCTAAATCCCAAAACCAAAAGCCTAAACGAAGAGCAACCCCGACTGCATCTCCGAAAGGCGCGGCGACCGTCCGGGGTGAGACTCCACTTGCATCGGGGTAGGCTGCATTATTATTATTATTATTATTATGAATACTATGATTATTATTATTGTCAGCATCATTAGTTTTAACATTCTTCTTCTTATTATTATTCTGTTGATAATAGTTGTTATTATTATTGTTATCATTATTATTCATATCATCATCGTCGTCATTATTATCAGAACTGTTAGTAGTATTATTATTATTATTATTCGTTTTATCATTATTTGCATTGCTTTTAAATTCTTATTGCTATTTTTTGTAAAATATTCATTGATATTTGTACTTTTTGCTTGTATATATATGTGTGTATATATATATATGTACGTATATCTTCTTTTCTTGGGGGCGGGGCGGGGAGGGAGGGAGGGAGGGAGGGGGGGGGGCACCCTTTCAAGGTAAATACTCTCATTATTCTGGGGTGCCGGAACCCTACATGCACCTGCATCCGGTCACTAGGCGTTTAAGAGTTTAGGCAGTTTAGGTGTGTGGGGTTTGGGGTTTAGGGGTTTGGGGGGTTTAGGGGGGGTTTAGGGTTTAGGGTTTCGGGTTTAGGGGGGTTTAGGAGTTTAGGGGTTTGGGGTTTGGGGGTTGAGGGGGTTAGGGGTTCAGGGTTTAGGGTCCATCTAAACAAACAATCGCAACTGGCATCTGCTTGGCAGATGCTTGCCGGGAAAGATTCACAAAGCGAATCCCTATTCGGGGATTGTTCCCCCAAGCTAACAAACTTAGAGCCTCGAAAGCAACCAGAAAACCCTGCAACTCCCAATCATCCAACAGCCCTTACCCTAAACTCTAACCCTAAATCGTAAACGGCGGAACAAAGGTATCAGTCGTCGTCGTCTCGAGCCACGCGGAGCGCTTCCTCCGCCAGTTTCAGCTTGCGCTCCTGGCGTAAGGGGTTTGAGTTAGGGTTTAGGGTTTAGGGTTTAAGGGGTTAAGGGGTTGAGGGGTTAAGGGGTTAAGGGGTTCAGGGGTTTAGGGGTTTAGGGGTTTAGGGAATAGGGGGTTTAAGGGCTTCGGGGTTTAGGGGTTTAGGGTTTAGGGTTTGGGGCTGACACGACTTTGCCTCGTTTGGATGCCCAGCCCCCTGCTTCTGCTGCCCTAAGGGACCCTAAACCCCAAACCCTAAACCCTTAACCCTAAACCCTAAATCCTAAACCGTAAGGGACTTCCATGGGAACCCCAAAGAGGGAACCCCAAGAAGAGAGTAAGAATAGAATAGGAAAATGCTGACCAGGGTCTTTATATTCCCTTTATATTCCTACTCTTTTCTTGGGGTTCCCTGAGACCTTGATAGTCTGTGGCAACGGCAAGCCGCGCGCGCCAGATTGCAGGTATTTTGGGGTTCCAGGGGTCAGGGAAGATGATGATGATGTAGGGGGGTGGGGGGGGGGGGCAAGATTGTTTTGGTACTTGGCGCCCCAACCCTAAACCCTAAACCCTAAACCCTAAGCCCTAAACCCTAAACCCTAAACCCTGAAACCTAAACCCTGAACCCCTCAACCCTGAACCCTGAACCCTGAACCCTGAACCCTGAACCCTACCCCCCTAAACCCTAATCAGTGGCTTCAGGTTTTCTGGCCTTCTCCAGCTTGCGCCGGATTTCGGCCTCCTTCTCTTTCTGCTTTCGCAACTCCTGCGATCAGTGGCTAGGTGGCTTCGGGTGTAGGAGTTTAGGGTTTAGGGTTGAGGGTTGAGGGTTGAGGGTTGAGGGTTTAGGGTTTAGGGATGTTCCCCCTTATACTACCAGTCCTTCGTAGGGACTATAGTACCCCCTTTTAGAATCCCAAGTAAGGTTGAGGGGCTAGAGCAGCATTCAAATCTAGAAGCCAACAAAACAACGACAAGCAAACACGATTACCCTAAACCCTAAACCCTAAACCCCAAGCCCTATGGTGAGACCCGAAACTCAAAGACGAGCCGAATCGATGGTTTAGGGTTTAGGGGTGTAGGTTTGGGTTTAACCTCCACCCCTCCACCACTTCCTCCCCCCTCCCCCAGCACCCTCGGCCCAAAACCGCACACCCTGAGGCGTCCGAGGCCCAATCCCTCAAGATCGAACAATTACAGGGTTCTTAAGGGAGAGGGGGTTCATGGGGGGCAGGTACCTAGAAAACCTTAGGGAAGCTTAGGGAGCGTTTGGGAGTAGTGTCGTGTATTAGTGAGCCTTGGCTTACATACCCCTTGAACACTAAACCCTAAAGGCATAGGGTTTAGGGTTTAGGGTTTAGGGTTTAGGGTTTAGGGTTTAGGGTTTAGGGTTTAGGGTTTAGGGTTTAGGGTTTAGGGTCCTGGGAGGCCTTCACTGGCTCTGAGGTCTGGTCACAAACGCCCTGGCAAGTAATATCTTGGAACATTTTTCTTTACCCAAAGAAGGAGGGTTTAGGGTTTAGGGTTTAGGGTTTAGGGTTTAGGGTTTAGATTTTAGGGTTTAGGGTTTAGGGTTTAGGGTCTAGGGTCTAGGGTTTAGGGTTTAGGGTTTAGGGTTAGGGTTTAGGGTTTAGGGTTTAGGGTTTAGGGTCTAGGGTTTAGGGTTTATGAACATACCCCGTCTGCTCTGCATACTCTCAAAACCCTAAACCCACAAACCCTAAACCCCGTAAGCCCTGAACTGTATAAACACCCAACCCCCCTGAACCCTATCAATATCATGGTTTCGGGCTTTGAAGCTCGAGGGGTTATCTAGGGGGCTAAGGTACTTATTTCTCCCATTGAATGCTAAGACCCCGAAACACTAAACCAAAAACCCTAAACCCCCAACCCTAATCTCACAACCCTAAACCCGAACCCCCAAACCCCGAAACCCTAAACCCCACACCCTAGGATAAAGAGGCCTTTAGGGTTTAGGGTTTACAGTTTAGTTTTAGGTTTTGGGGGGTTGCAGGCCTCTGTCTTCCGCTTCTTGTTCTCGCGGCGCCGCCAGTTCTTCCACGCCACCGAGCCACGGAGAGCAGTCTCCATGAAGCCTCAGATCAGAGGGCTCTTAAGCGGCCCTTGTTGGGGGGGGCTCTGCTTAGGGTGTTTGGGGTGAGGGCTCAGGATTAGTGTTTAGGGTTTAGGGTTTAGGGGTTAGGGCTAGGGTTTAGAGTTTGGGTTGAGGGTTTAGGGGTGCAGGGTTTTGGGCACCACGGGTTTTGCTTCGGGTTTGAGGATATTCGGGCTTTGAAGGTTTAGGCTCAGGGCGTTTAGGGCTTGGGGTTTAACATTTTGGGAGTTGGAGCCCGAAACCCTAAACCCTAAACTACAGGGATTTGAGATTTAGGTTCGGGCGCTTTGGGAAAGTTGGGCTTGGCTTTTTGCAGCTTAAGTTCAACTGGAGCCTACCCTAAGGCCCCTAAACCGCCTACAGCCCCTAGAGCCCTAAACCCCCTTAAACCCTGAAAACCCGTAAACTCTAAAAGCACAAGCCGCAGGGCAACGCCCCTGAACACCCCTAAGCTCTAAACTCTGAACACGAAACCCTGAACTCTCAACAAACTTAGCCTAGACCCAAGAGTATTGAACAAAAAAGGGGTGCGCCCTTTTTGTTTCCAAGGGGCTTCTCTAAGGGAACCCAAACCCTACACCCTAAACCCTACACCCTACTTCAGGCCCCCTGAGATCCCTCCAAACCGCAAACCCTTCCGAACCCTACGGTTGAGGGTGTACCTGAAAAACCCAAAGCGTACTTGCTTGTCGGTTATTGCCACAACGCCCCGTAGAGGGTTCACAGGCAACCTACCCAAGAACTCTAGGTTTCGGGTTCTTTAAGGTACGGTCTAGGGGGTTGGGATGCTGCCTAGTCACTTCCGAACTTGAGCCTATGCCTGTAGTCGTCTTTCGCAAACTCCTGCGGCGGCTGGCTCGACTGCAAGGGTAGTTACTGTTTTCCCTTAGTATGGGCCTTCTATACATCAGAACCCTTTGAAGAAGGTAGCGGACCAGACTAGGGGACAGGGTTTTGTAGGGTCTAACTTTTTACTAGCCCCAAGCCCGAAACCCTTGACTGCGGAACCATCAAGGTGCTCTGAGGGGTTCAGAAGTTTTCGAGTTCAGGGTTTAGGGTTTAGGGTTTAGGGTTCAGGGCTTCGGGTTTCAGGGATTTGGGGGCTCACAGCTCTGTGCCATCAAACATAGCTCGTTTTTTTACGGCTGAGAGAACCGGGTC